ACTTCACTCTGTGTACTATGCTCTGTTCACTTGACTCTGCCTGCATAGTACTCTGTGTACTTGATCCTATGTACTTCTCTACAGGGCTTCGCACGGAAGAACCCTTCGCGATGTTTTCGGGAAAACACATCACAGTTGGTTGTCAAACAATGGAACCTCAGAAATTTTATCTAACCGAGGATCAACGATTGCTAACGATTCAAGGAGCTGCTTCGTCTCCGTATATTCTGCCAGCTTCCCTGCGCATGAGAGCGTTCTTCTAGTTCCAAGAAAATTGCTGTGGTAAGGAGGTCATGCGCATGACTCCATGAAATACAACAGCCCCGGTACCTTTAAGTCCACTTCACAGACCATATGAAAATTAGCCGAACATTAATGTGATCTCAGCAAACATGAGGAGCTAATCACTATCCGAGTAAAACATAGCATCCCAATGGCGGCTGGTGCAGGTAGTGTAGACGACGGCTGATGTAGTTTGCAGTGCTGCTGATGTTTTGGCACGTTTGTAACAGAAATAAGACGTCGACTCTCACATAGCAGCAAGCGCCTTCGCCTTCGACAGAGACAACAGGAGCTGTTTTATGCTGCAGCAATCCATGTTATGACAGGGTAGCAACATGGTTCTTGTCAGTTTGATTCCAAGGAACAACAGGATGAGCCCATAGCTTTTCCAGAAATTCATGAAGCTCAAAGCAAGGAATAACAAGACTTCACCGCTTCTTCGTGCGGCTTCAAGGCTCATCAATGTAAATTGAACATGCTGAATTTCACGAATGTTTCGTTCGCATTCGTGGCTTGCATCATATTAGCCAAGCTTTCTGCAACACATACAGTGGATGAAGATGGGGACGCCAGTCCTGCTGCTTGCAGCACCTGTGCGTAACTCATGTGGTGGCAAGCCCACCTTTGAAGTGTCTGCACCATGCCAGAATGCCAGATGTTGCCCCAAATCCGGAAGGTTTCTTCATTCAAAGCGTCACTTTTCTGGGGCCTGGGAATTGATGATATCAATCCCCTGCTTGAGCTCTTCATCATCTGGGGCCGGCTGAAAAGATTGTGGCTTCCGGATGCTCGGCTGCTTTTCGGACACCTGATTCAACATGATCCGGAAACCATGAAGGTGCTGCAACAAGTACTGGGTCGCCTTCTTGACAGCCCACGGGGCATCGAAACCAAACGACTGTAACCTACCATTTAAGTAGTTGTTCGAGCAATCTTGACTTGATGGCAGACAGGAACGCGGGCGATTCATGTACACAACTTGGAGACATCGCCGACGCAAATATTTCGCAAAATGAATCACTTTCACCACGTTCATAGTTCCATCCTCTAGATTTTGGATCTCGCACCCATTTTCGAGGAGGGTGGGACGCCCTCGGGGCCCCATATTTACGGTGGTTTTGAGGGTTTTTACGCTTTAAAGCATACACCCACAGGATAGAGGCTGGCGATCCCTGCGCTCTCGAGAATCTGAGTCCCAGACTTTAGTGACATGTGCATGGATACAGGCATAGTAAAGAGCAACTTCCACAAGATATGCAGTGCCGTTCGGTCGGTTACTCGCTTTTGGAGCATCATGAACATAGACGCTGTAGCTCCGTCGCATATTCTCGAGTCCTTTTTTACGGAATACATGGACAAGCGACATACAACTTCGCAAGGAACATCTAGAATAAAAGGAACATCAGAGATAGCGACAGCTGACTGCGTGGGAACTGCACAGACAATGCATGGTGATTGTCTGGGAGACGATGGAGAACGCATCATGGTTGGACGCGAAATTCCGAGATGCTGCATACAGTACGTATGCATGTCGTCAAGGTTTAACACATCATGAGCACTACTCGTGACCATCCATGGAAATGGCTTGAACCTGGGCACGGGCAAGCATATCGGGAACGGCTTCCGTGTGCCACCACTGGTCATATTCTTCCAACAACGTTCCATCCAAGGGCCGGTCGATCTTGAGACCATGAAGCTTCGCAATGCGTTCGTGACGAGGGAGCACAGTCCACATGTCTTCACACTCCTGCATGACTTGAAACAACAACTTGGCTGCCGAGTAGTCCTTGCGGAAACGGGCGTGTTCATGTTCATCCGACCAAACGAACTCACGCTATGTCCCTCACGCTGCCCAGTCGATGGCACGACCGGACAAGTACCCTCTGAACTGAAGAGCGTCGTGGTACTGAAGAAACTTAATCTCGAAGCCAGTCTTGGACGTCACGAACACATGTGTCACATTCTGAAGACAGGCCGAATTGAGTTTGTTCTGGCCGGCCCAGCGCAAGTTGTAATAGTGCTGGGATCTACAAGACTTACTCACGCATCGCATCCGGACATGGTGAGCCCTCTCAACACCGGCCATGCCAGAACCACATGAGGCACACATGGAGCAAGGAGTACAGAATCGTCGCGGTGGTGTAGCCATGTTCCTGTCACCATCAGACTGCCCTGCGGATCTAGCCAAGCGGTAAACTGGACTGATTTCCTCAGGGATGCGAAACCAAGTGGCGTGTGCGTCTTGCTGGAGAAGACGCAAAAGAAATCTGTAGACTGCATAAGCAAACTCCGGCGTCCTGCGGAAACATCAGAATCAATGATTTTCACTGTGCGCTTGTCCTCATACGTAATACCATACCAATGTCCGCGTCCTTCTGGTAGAGGATGATGCGCGAACCATATTTTGGGGCTCCCTGGATCCATGGCAATGTCCGAACCCTCCACATGGACTGAGCGAAAGCCGGCTGTCGAGATGCGCTGGGACGCATGGATGCTGGTCATGTTGAAGAGTCTTGCAGACAGCGGCTCATCATGTTCGACCAATGAGCTGATGTCGCATCCAGGACACAAGCTGGCGATGGAGTTCACCAAGCAATTTTTTGGTACTGTGTGATCACAGCGTCGTCGAGCTTTGCCGTGACCAATGCTCGCCGCACACCGAGTCGAGGAAGAGTGAGTGGAAGTAGTCGTGGCCAGGCTTTGACCTCAAGAGGAATCAAAGTCTCCCGACAGCGACGGCATTCTTGCAGTGTCTGTTTATCTCTGTCTCCAGATCAGGACAGTTGATGTAAGCCCCGTCGAAGATGAGAACGGACGTCTGTTCACCCAATGTCTCCCGAACAGTATCCAGGAGCTTCGCCTCATCGTAGGATAGCAATGCCGACATGCGGCTGAACTCTGGATTCCGTCGGTCTGGGTACAGCTCCTTGAATTCGACGGAGCTAGAATGCCCCAGGGTCATCTTAGCGGCCACCTGCACTTCCGTCGCATAGCTTCAGGAGAAAGGGAATCTCTGTGCTCGGCTTGCCTCCGTAGAAGATTCGGATCAACTCCAGCTTGTCATCCTCGGCGGAGACCTCCGTGTACTCCTGTAGGCACGAATGCCATGCCTTGTGGCGCTCCACGAACAGCTTCAGCATGGGAAACTTTCCCGCATTCCATAGATTGCACGTCTCAAGCTTCATGACAAGCAGACGAGGATGACAGCAGGGAGTATCAACCTCCAGACAGTTGTGGCCCGAAAACTGCGTCCCTCGCCTCGAGTAAGCTTCTGTCCCGCAGTTCCACGTGCTAGATGCCGTCCGTAGTTTGGCAGCAGATAGTACTCGACTGACAATGTAGAGAAGTCGCCGTCGCGAATGCCCGACTCCATGTGCTTGTGCATGTAAGTCTGCAGCATGTCAGCTCGCCTGTCTATCTCAAGCGCCGCGTAGCTGCACAGAGACTCCAAATGCACGATTTCTTGAGTCTTGACAACGCAAAACCGTGTTCCTGCCGAAGCCTGCGCCGCCGCCGCCGCAGCTTCTCGCCAGCATCATGGTTCGCCTGTCAGAGTCGAAGGCGGTGCCGTCCCATTTCTCCTGATTGCGCACGAGCTCAAAAGGACACGTCCACGTAGACCAGTCACCAAACACTGCTGTGCCACCAAATTCCTCCATGATGGGGCGTAGCTGTTGCCACCTGACCATGAGCTTGTGGAAGCAAAGTCGAGTCCACCTGCTTGAAGAGCAGGATGTCGGCATGATCCACAGCCTCGATGATGACATCTTGGTCTTCTTGCCTTTAGAAGAACTCCCAGCACCTGGTAACGTGTCGACCTTGAGGATCAGATACTCCCTGATTCTCCGCTTCCAAGGAGTGGCCTCGTGCACTTCCATGACTCGATCGTTTGATTCCATGACGATATCCACGATGCTGCCCGGCGGTGGAGCCGAGGAGCCCGAGAGACAGAAAGCAAGCCACTGTGTGTCCCTCTCCACAGCAGCATGCACTGAAGATAGGTCATTGATCATGAACAGAATGCACCAATCCCTGAAGTACACGGATGCATTTACTGGATGGGAGAGAAGGGACACCAAGTCGTCGTGTGGTATGTAGCGGAAGATGCCGGCGTCCGGATCCACCTCGCTGTCCCGCGTAGTGAAGGTCGCCTTGCCCATGAGGAAGCATACCACACGTCGGCGAAGTTGCTTGCAGGACTTCCGACGATCCCGAGACTCCTCAACTACAGGAACGTTCTCGAAGTTGAGTTCCTGTACTTTGAGCGCACTGCCAAACCGTCGTTTGGAGGTGAAGCCGTGATTCACACGGCAATCAATCTTCGTCAACGACGAAGCGTTTCCATACGTCCGCCACAAAGTGACCGCCCCGTTCCATCTCTTGGATACGGATGTTAGCCTTGTTCCATGCAAGTTCCGCCGATTTGCGGAATTCCATGCGATCCAGGAATACGCCGCAATCCAAGGTCGCCGAGGCAGGATTACCGAAAAAGGCACGATCCAGGACGGCTTCCATGCCCGTGCCGTCCCCACCTCGCCCGACTTGGAAGATGATTTTGGTGGTGCACCTGCCAAGGAAGGCCGCGTGCATGAAGGCTAACCTTAGCTGGAATAGATGTTCGTTCTCGTGGTAGAAGACTGACTTCAAGAAGGTGGCGAGCTGAGCACGAACAGCTGCAATGTCAATGTCGGGGTACTTCGCGAGGAGATTTTCACGGAAGCAACAGTAATCAACGCGGAAATAGCAATTAGCCTCGGGACATTTGGGCACGACGCTCCAGGACGCGTCCAGGTAGACATCGTCAAAGCACAGTCCCTTGGACTCTGGCATAGGAGTATCCCATTCCTTCAAGAAGAGCTTGGACATGACATGCTTCGCTCTCTCCTCTTCCCAATTTCTACGTAGTTGAGCCAACATATCCGCACAGCGACGTGTCCAATGGGCATGCCATACCTTGTTAGAGGTCGCAACACGGAGATGGTCACTGTTATTCTTCGCAACAGTCGCCAGGACCTGGAGCAGATTAACACCACGCTCGTTGATGTCCCCGATGATGTAATCGATGTAGGTTTTGACATCCTCCCGCGACCATGTGGCAGATGCGTTTGCTTCCTGGAGGTTCAGCGCAAGCTGGATGAAGAGTCCTTCCAGCGCAAGCAGAGGATCCCAAGCCTGGATGTCCAAGCTGTGCTCCATGATCCAGGCCCCGTCTTCATACTTGAAGATTTGCTGCTTGTGTGCTCTCCCACGATGTCCGTCCAATAACATAGCGATCATTAACTTCTGATTGTTGGAGAGCATGTATTTCGCACAGTCCAGATCGCAGGCGAACTTGCTCAGGGCAATCACAGCGCGATCGGAAGGCTGAAGATGTCCATTTCCTTTTGCTCTGACCATGACTTGTAGGAACCGGTTTTCTCCATAAGAGGCCTGCGCGTCTTGGAGTCGCCCATTGCCGGAGGTGGTGGGGTGACAATCTCTGCATTCATGTCGTGCAGGTTGGAGAAACTCCGAAACCTTAGTTGCAGTGAATCTAATGCTTCTCCCTGCTATGTGAAGCGTGGCACACAAATCAGAGACACGGTCCTTCCGAGGTCACTGCAGGTTGGCTCCACGGAGTCGCTTTCGTGCCGGTTCCGTCTCACTCTGTCCTTACTGCATGTTAAAGTACAGCGCTACGTAGGGCCAGGCTAAGGCATAATGCGTCCAATTATTTGCCATATAACAAATGACGTTGTCTACTATACATGACAGACTGTACTTCAAGATTAAGAATACACTGATGCGAGACTGCACAGAGGCTATCTTCACGAGCAGGTCGAGATTCTAGATATATATGGGGGCCCACAATGAAGCATCAGGCATGACAAAAACTGTTGTTCTTGCGCACTGTACGTTCTAGGTCTAGTATTGTTGCGATCCAAAGATAACCCAAATTGTGTCATGTATTAAATCAGTCAGACAAGTAAGAGAAAGCAGACTGCAAAAGAAGTTGCGTGAACGCAAAAGATACTGTAACGCTGAGAGTTTGTTGTACCTTATAATTCAATGTTTAGAATCCGAGCGCGCGGAGATGGGCACAGGTGGATATATATGCGAGTCCGGGATCGGGAGGGGGAGACAGGGGGGCTACAGGAAAAAAAGGAGGGGGTGGGGGGGGGGGGGGGGGGAAAAAAAA